AATGCATACAAGGGAGGTGTAGTACCACTCGACTCCTCAGATCGACATAACTTATAAGGACCGATACTATCAAAATATGCGATGGCAAAGGGACCATACTGGACACTACATGGTGGAGGACGCGATGAAAGTGCACGACGGCGGTTGGCAGCAATACGACGACTCTGGCAACCAACGCAGTGATCATTAATACGCCTCACGGTCTTATCCATATGCTGCCAATAATAATGTCTCCATATCCAGCGTAGCAACGTAACACGACCCGGATGTCCAGCATGTTGATCATGAACTTTCGTTGCCACCATATGTTGTAGGTTGTCGTCAGCATTAGGAATAACAATCTGGGATATAGCACAACTCCCACGATTGGTATCATCGAGAGCAACATTACCAACCTTACATAATAACCCATTCCGAGTTTCAAAACCCGGGACATCTTTACCACTGGCAATCTTGTCGAGTGTCAACCGCAGACTCGGAATAGCAGCTTGGGAGACCTTAATAGACCATTGCAGTTCTGGGTCTTCAGGAGGATCAGGAACATCTTTGTGCAGCTGAACTGCTGCTGCTAGTGCTACCGTCAAATCCTCATCATCACCCATCATCAAGTCAAGTTCATCATCTTCTGAAATATCCAAGTGCTCATCTTCACCATCGGAGTCTTCTTGGCCAGGAAACAGAGTCACAGTAGTAACCGATCGTAATATATCATCCATCTCTGAGCCACAGAGCTCCAACTTCTCCTGTAACCCCCTATCGGGTCTTGTAGCCCGATCAGCCGGATTCAACCTACCCACTACATGACCAGACTTCACAGAGCAGTCCAGAGATTTCGCTAATCGAGTAAGACCAGAACGAATGTCTTGCACCCGACGTCGCTCAAACGCTGATAAATACTTGGCGTCATAGGCTTCCGAACGTCTCAGACGCCAACAATTGAGCTGAGAGTCCGTAAGGAGCCAGACCTGAGGGGGAGCATAACCATCTTCCGTAAGCACATCTAACTCCTCGCAGATATCATCAAGCAACGACACCCCCAAACGAAGTGCACAAAGTTCAAGCCTTGCTATAGTCCACTTAGAATTCAATGTTTTTTGACGAGCCGCTAGACGACGACCATCAGCAACACCACGAGCATCGGCACATATACAGCCACTACCAGCGGCATCACAGAACACCACCAAGCCCTTCCGAATATCGACAAAGCGTGGTTGAGAACAGGGCTTCACAGAGCATAGAGCACTCACTTCCAAAGCAGTTGACTGTGAAAGATCTTGCGAATCCCAATGCTCAGTAGTAGATGCTGACTTATGTAGTAGATAGCGTTGCCGAGCCGAATATTCAATATTGGTACCGAGAGGATCATAAAACCGACTTAGGACTTGAAAACATAGTCTTCTTGTTGATGGAATATCTGAACCAACATCTATTGTCCTAGGGCAAACAGTGTCAGTCACAGTATCCCAAAGGTAACCAAGTTGCGTGACAGTCTTATAAGTGACCTCGTCATTAACCCCTATATCCAGAGCCTCAAAGCGATACTGAGGGTCTCCACCGAGTATCGACTTACTGGGCTGACACTCCATATGAGCTTGTTCATACAACACTGCTCTTCCCAGGGAGCGGCGTTCCAACAACTTCGTCACACACCAGGCATTATAGAGCAGATCATCCATATACTCACGGAATACCT